AAAATGTGACTGGGGAAGAGCTGCCTCCTCAAAGTAGAGTTGACCATGATAACGCGAATGGAGTAAAGCTCGTGGGAGAAAAGCCCGCGGGACCTTCATTTGCTGATGGGGCATAACTCAAAATGAAGAGAAACAGCTGTAAACATCCTTTGAAAATTGGAACATAAAATGTACAATGTGTGAATCTGGGAAAATTGGAACTTATCCAAAATGAAATGGAACGCATAAACATCGACATTTTAGGCATTAGTGAGTTGAAATGGACTGGTATTCACCATTTTGAATCTGACAGCCACATGGTTTACTATGCCGGAAATGACAAATTGAAGAGGAATTGTGTTGCATTCATTGTCAAAAAGAACATACCCAGATCATAAGGACTTAACACTTTCACTGATGAAGATAAAAGATCACAGCCTTCGGTATGGATTACATCTCAATGTAAAGAAAACAAAAATGCTCACAACTGGACCAATAAACAACATTCTTATCAATAGAGAAAAGATTAAAGTTGTCAAGGACTTCCTTCTTTTTGGATCAACTATCAACACTCATGGGAGCAGCAGTCAAGAAATCAAACGACATACTGCGTTAGGCAAATCTGCTGCACAAGACCTTTTTAAAGTGTTGAAGAGTAAAGATGTCAGCTTGAGGACTAAGGTGCCCCTGACCCAAACCATGGTATTTTCAATAACCTCATATGCATGTGAAAGCTAGACAGTGAATAAGGAAGACCGTAGAAGAATTGGTGCTTTTGAGTTATGGTGTTGGAGGAGAATATTGAAAGTGCTATGGACCGCCAAAAGAACCAACAGATCTGTGTTGGAAGAAGTGCAGCTAGAGTGCTCTTTGGAGGCCAAGATAGCCAAACTTCGTCTCTCGTACTTCAGACATATTGTCAGGAGGTACCAGTCACTGGAGAAGGATATTATGTTTGGTAGGGGTGGAGGGTCAGAGAAAAAGAGGAAGACCCCCAATGAGATGGATTGGCCAGATGGCAGCATCGATGGACTCATGCATGGCAACAGTAGTAAGGTTGGCCCAGGGTCGGGCAGTGTTTCATTCTGCTGTGCATAGGGTCACTATGTGTTGGTACTGACTCGATGGCACCTAACAACAACAAACAACACCTCTACAAGAAAAAGACAAATAACCAGTTAAAAATGGGCACAGGACAT